CTTTATATTTTATCCAGGGTACACTCCCTTAGGGTGGGTAGCACTCACACCCAAAATGAAGTACCCTTAATCCTGCCTGAACTATGTCAAACCAGTCAGTGGACTAATTTAATACTTCCACACCCTTGATCCACTGTCACAAACTCTAGATCCAGCCTCCTCTGAAAAGCTTTACCTGTGACTGCATAAGGCTTTGGAACCATAGCATTTCCTCATCCCAATTCTGTTTCTTTTCTTATATTATGTTTCTCTTTTGTAGAGAACTGTATTCTTATACATCTTGAGTTACTATTTAGAAATCTAAATCTAGATGCTTCATTTATAATCAGTTATAATCCTGTTTCATACTTAATCAGCAAGACTATTCATTTTTCTCCTTTAATATCTCTCACATATATTTACCTCTCTACTCACATTTTATTAGTTTAGACCAGAGGTCAGCAGATTCTTTTGCTGCATAAAAGATCAGATAGTAAATACTTCAGACTTTGCAGGTCATATAATCTCTATCACTGCCACTGTTGCTGGAAAGCACCTGTAGACCATATGTAAATAAACTGATATGACTGATTTCCAATAAACTTATTTATAGACACTGAAATTTAAGTTTTAAATAATTTACATATCACAAAATCTTCCTGTGGATTTTTCACCCCAGACATTTAAAAAAATGATAATAAGTCATCCTTAGGTTGTGATTCCTACAAAAACAGGCTCACAAGCTGCAGTTTCTTGCCTCTGGCTTAGACGAACATTTTTTCTTACCATATAATGTGGCTGTGGCCTCTAACCCGCTCTCCCTTTCTCTAGTCTTGTCCCCTTTAGTTTACTGTTCATGCTCCAGCCATGTGGACTTCAGATTGCAAATTAGATTTCAATGCTTTGGTAAAAGTCCTTTAAAGGTTAACCATTTTCTATAAGATGTATCTACATTCTTTGGCAAGACCCTTCATTTGGAACTGACTTACCTTTGTAGTCTTTTTTTTTTTTTTGGTACCGAGAATTGAACTCATGACCTCAGGCTTGCCAGGCCAGTGCTTATGCCGCTGAGCTATATCCCCAGCCCACCTTTCTAGTCCTATATCTTACCAGTCCCCCCAATCATCTGTTCTATCTTTGTGATGCTGCTTGTAGGTCCTAGAATGTGTAGTGTTTTTCATGTGTAAGTTTTGACATATGCCTTTGAATATATTTCCTCCTCACTCTTTCCTGTTTCTGCCTGGCTAAACACTGCTTTTTCTGCAAGAGTCATTTTTGCCATTGTCACTATCTCCAGAGTCCTCGCTTCTCAAGGCTGGATTGAAGTACTTCCTCTACTAAGTTCTCCCATTGTGTCTGCAGAACCCAATGATATTTATTTTTACAGTTGCTTATTTACTTGACTGCCTCTCCTAATTAACAAACTATTTAAGTTCTACTTTCCCATTTTCCTGTGTTACCATATATACACTCTGCATTTTTATGGTTTTGGGGTGTTTTTTTTTTTTATTACAGGAAATTTAAGCTAAGTGTGGTACCACATACCTGAAATACCAGCACTGTTGGAGGCTGAGGCAGAAGTATCACAAGTTTGAGCCCTGTCTGGGCAATTTAGGGACTTACTAAGACACTGTCTCAAAATTAAAATTTAAAAAGGCTGGAGATGTAGCTCAGTGTGAAGGCCCAAGGGTTCAATCCCAAGTACCAAAGCAAACAAACAAAAAAAATCAGCCAGGCGTGGTGGCGCATGCCTATAATACTTGATGCCCAAAATTAAGGAAGGAAAGGTTTATTTAGCTCACAGTTTGTGGAGGTTTCAGTCCATACTTGGCTGGTTCCAAGGCAGAGTGGCACATGGCAGAGGGCAATAGTTTGGTGGCAAGAAAAACAACAAAAGCAAGGGAGGGGGACCTCTTTCCCTCCCTTACATTGCACCCTGGCTATCTGCCCACGCCCACACCCACACCATCTCAGTGCCCTGCTGTTTCAGAGGCTCAGAATGAATACCAAAAAACATCCTAGAGCAGGAAGGGCATGTCCTTTTCACCCAGGATGTAGAACTGCCAAACCTCTAGACTTCCCAAGTTGACACTATGTATCAACCATAACAACCATAAAATTCACCCTTTTAAAATGTATAATTCAGTTGTTTTTAGTATAGCCACAGTGTTGTGTAGCCGTCACTACTAATTCGAAAACATTTCCATCACCCCAATAAAGAGTTCCTGTGACCGTTAAGAAGTCACTTTTTTGCTGGGCACAGTAGTACACACTTGTTAGGCCAGCACTCAAGAAGTTGAGGCAGGAAGATTGTAATTTGAGGCCAGCCTGGGCTATAAAGAAAGTTCAAGTCCACCCTAGATTACATAGCAAGACCAAAAATTATAAAAGAAGTCACTCCCCATGTAGCTCAGTAGTAGAGCATTTGTGTACTATGTGTGAGGCTGTGGGTTTGATGCTCAGCACTCAAAAGAAAGTCACTCATCCTTCCCTCTTTCCCCCAGGGCCTGACAACCATTCATCTACTTTGAGTGTTTATGGATTTGCCTATTTTGTCTATAGAATCATATAATATTTATCCTTTTTTGACTTATTTCACTCCATATTCATAATGTTTTTAAAGCACATCCATGTTGTGTCATGCATGTACTGGTATAGTACTGAATTCTTTTTTATGACTTCGTATCAGCATTATGTTTTAAACTTCATTCTTAAAACCCCCCAGGGAAAAAGAAAATGGAACTCTTAGACTTCTGCTTCAAACAGAATGGTTCTGCTCTCATCTGTTACCTGTTTATGAATGTATTTTCAGTTTAAATTTGAGCTGAGCATGGTGGCACATGCCTATAATTTCAGCACTCAGGAAGCTGAGGCAGAAAGTGTCGGACTAAACATCCCTATCTCTCCAGGGTGAACCGGTCTGGAGAACGAGGTCCCCATGGATGAATAAGAAAAGCAAAAGAAAAACAGAGACAAGCAAAACAAGAGAGACAAAATTCTGAGATCAGGGGGCTTACAGCCTCTCAGACTGCTCCCCCTGAATACCAGTTCTCATCACCGTTACTGAGCCAGAACCAAGGGTGTAGCTAGTATAAATGGGTGGATACCAAGTGTTTTAGCAAGGATAGTTAAAGGGTTACCCTCCCCCACATGAGATCTAAGACACGCCTATAATCCCAGCATTCAGGAGGCTGAGACAGGAGGATCATAAACTCAAGATTAATCCAGGCTGTATAATAAAGCCTTATCTTAAGAAATTCTAACCTAACAAATCATTGTGTCCTCAATGCATTCTAATCAAAGAATGTCCTTCTCCACAAGGAAGATCACAGCAAGTTCCAGGCCAACCTGGGCTACATACTGAGTTCAGGGCCAGGGCCAGAGCCAGTGTGAACTACAAAGCAAGACCCTGTCTCAGAAAAAAATAATTAAAAAAAAATTGAGTCGGCTAATTGAAGAGTAGATCAGGCCCTTCATGATCTCCCCCTCCCCATCCTTTCCTACTATTTTTTCCCTCTTGTGCCTTAGTTAGATCGCAGTTTAGTGGAACTTCATGTCTGCTTCGTGCTGTCTTTTCTGTGCACCTTTTCAGATAGACTCCTTACTACAAAGTTTCCCTCAGCTCTAAATTTTGGTAGTAATTACACTGTTAGGTGCTCCTTTGTCTACCAGTTCCTTAACACTGCTCTTTTTTCTTTCTTTTTCTTCCTTTTTTTCCTTTCCTGACTGGTGATGAGTCCAGAGCCTCACACATGCCAGGCAAGCACTCTACCACTGAGCTATATCCCCACCCCTTTTATTCTGTTTTTGAGAGAAAGTATCAATAAGCTGCCTAGGCTGCCTCAAACTCAGGAACCTCCTGCCTCTGCCTCACAAGTAGCTGAGCTTACAGGTGTGCACCACCATACCTAGCAAGATTGCTCTTCTACTTTTTAAATTGTTTTATACTCTTTTCTCCAGTGGCACTGGATGGTGGGACAAGGAGATGTGTAACTATAAAAGAGTACAAGATCTTTTTGATGATAGAAAAGTTCTTTGTCTTGATTGTGACTGTATTTACACAAATCTACACATACGATAAAATGGCATAGAACTGTGCATAAACGTTGTGTCAGTGTCAGTTGCCTGATTTAATATAGTAGGATAGCATAGTAATATAAGATGTACCCATCGGGGAGGAACTGTGAAAGGTACATGGGTCCTCTCTGTGCCACCTTTGTAGGTTTCTGTGAATCTATAATTATTTCAAAGTGAAAGCTTTAAAAAGTGTATTTAAAACTGGGATTAGTGTTTGTCAGAGCCATTTTGCCATTCATGTTGCTGCTTCTGCTCATTATGGATCCGAATGTGTCTTTCAACATCAAGTTCCCTTATGGGAGACAAGAGCACCCATTTGTAGTGATATTTTAGTTACCTATTGCAATTAAGTGGAGCTTGTCTAAAGCAAGCATAGACACAGAGGTTCTTTGTATGCAAGGTCTTGGCTTATCCAAGACCTTTTTTAATTTTTGGATCGAGTGGTAAGCATTAATTTCAGTCTTGGTTTGGTACACTTTTAAGTTCTTAGTGTTCTTTCATATAGTACTTGACACCTAGAAAGCAGTGACTGTGGCACTAAATCCTGAGTCACAAGGTTACACATGATACTGTGTTATCCTAGAGGAGCTTGATAAGCATTAATTACTTTTGACATTATTTCAAGCAATTAGTTTTTGCTTAATACAGAATTAGTGAGAGGTCTTCTGGTAAGAGTTTGAAGAAACATCATTAAATGATGATGTTCAACTGAAACTTTTTTTCTCAATTCAGACACTATCAAGCAAAATGAATAGTCCCAAACAAATTTAAAATAAACATTACAGAATTAGAATACACCTGTAATTCTTTTTTAGAAGAGGTAAGATATAAATAATCAGGTTTTGTTTGAATTTTTGATCAAGCTTAAAGTAAACATGAACAACATAGTAAATATGAGCAAAATTACATATTTTTACTAAAATGAAAACTTAATTGTTTTTCAGGTTAAACTACAGAACAACATATCATATCAGATGGCAGACATACATCATTTGAAAGGTAAGAAACTTAATCATATTAAAGATAATGATCATTATATGTCTGATATATTTAAGAATTAAGAAAGAGTTCAACAGCTAAATGAAATCCAATTTTCTAAACAAGACTTGGTGGTGAAACATTTGTTCTTTTGTCTGAAGATACCATAAAGAATTATTTAATATTACTTTATAGATGGTACAAGTCAAAATTTGAGATCTGCATTTTAATATTGTATTAGACAAGGTTAAACAATGAAATGTTCTTAAGAGAATTCTCAAAGAAAATTGAACTGTAGCATCAGAGACCATCAAATTTCTAGAGGAAAAGTAGGAAGCATTCTCCTTGCATTGTGTCTGATCACAAATAACTCATTCAGGTCGAGATGCTTAGACTGATCCTCCAAGTTTAACCTTTTGGAAACCCTGGAAACAGAAGCCTGGAAAATAGATAATTACGTAATTAATAAATAAATAAATACTAAATTTTAAGTACACATTTTCTCCTTTGAAGTGATAGGAGATAAGTGCCTGAAATGATAGGAGATAATTGAATCTTTTATGGAAAGAGTAGATGAGGAGAGCAAGGTCTACACTCAGCTTCGTATTACTTCATCCCATCCACTAGCCTTTTTGTTTGTTTGTTTTTGTTTTTTGAGACAGTCTTGCTGTGTTCCCAGGCTGGCCTTGAACTTGCAGTGATCCTCCTGCCTTAGCCTGCTGAGTGCTGAGGTTACAGGTGTGTGCCACCATACCAAGTATCTGCTAGCTTTTGGGGGTTTGAGGTCTGAGGGCCAACTCTCTTCTCCCTTACATCCTGTGGTTAGCAGAACTGTTTTCTAAAAGCTTGTAGCCAGGTATGGTAGGGCATGTTTGTGATCTCAGCACTCAGTTCGAAGGCTGAGGCAGGAGTATCGATGCAAGTTCTAGGTCCCCCTGGGCTACACAGTGAGTGCAAGGCAAACCTGAACTATGTAGTAAGACCTTGACTCAAAAAGCAAAAAATAAAGGCTTGGGATCCATTGGCTCTAAGTTTCTGGATACTACATATTTTCTGATATCATAAATACCCCTTTATTATTATTTTGAGTCTCTTTAGAGACTCTTCTATCATCCTCTAAGTATCAACCTGAGCTGGCTTTGTAATGTAGTAGTGTTCCTCTTCATTTAGCAAAGCCATTAGATATTGGTGTTTGTGTGTTGTAACCCTAAAATAAAAACTGTCAATTTTTTGCTGTGACTTTCAGTAGTTTTGACTACCAGAATTGTTTTCTGAAGTTTAAATGTCAAGGAAAACAACAACCTATATTTCTGAGTAAAAATATTTATTGCACTATATGTATTGAAATAAGGCTTAAAATATTTTGAAATGTTTCATGATACTCCTCAGCAGAGAAAAAAATTTTGAATGTAGAGTTGTACAATTTTTGTACTTACTGAGACCTGTACTTTTAAGAGTGAACTTCATTAGTGTAACTTTTGCAGCTTAGGAATGATTTCTACTGAACAATGTCTTGACAAGTTGACTGTAAAATCCAGTTGAGTATAAAATCCCTTGATAAGCTGACTGTTTTTAAATTAGTATTTGATACATTAAAATAGATACTAAGACCCTTTGAAAACCTTATGGTGATTAATATTTTCTTGGCAGTAAAAGGAATGAGAGTTATTTTGTGTTGTCTTGCTTTTGGTAGAATTCCTGTTGTAAAGTTTTCTGATACACACACATTTATTTTTAAAGAAAACTTCTTTGTATACCTTTTTTTTTTTTTTTTTTTTTTGTCTTTTTGAGACAGGGTCACCTTGTACAGTTCAGGCTGGCCCTGAGCTCACTTTGTAGCCCAGGATGGTCTCAAACTGGCAACAATCCTCCTGCCTCAGCCTTGCAAGTGCTGGGATTAAAGGCATACACCACCACACCCAGCTGTATACATATTATAGAAAGAAAATTTGAAGTTAAAATTTTGTAGAAGTGCCAGGGATATAGCTCAGTGGCACAGTGCCTGCCTGGCAAGCATGAGGCCCTGAGTTCAAATCCCAGTAGAAAAAAAAAATTTTTTTTTAGAAGTAAATACATGTTTTTTTCTTTCATTTATTTTTATTTTTTTTTATTTTTATTTTTTGGGGTTTTTCTCCGGTACTGGGAACCGAACTCACGACCTTGCGCTTGCCAGGCAGGCGCTTTTGCAGCTGAGCTAAATCCCCAGCCCCTCTTTCATTTTGTTTTAAAAGCTGATTCTAGCTGGACATCTTAGCATACACTTGTAATCGTAACACTTGCAAGCCTGAGGCAGTAGGATTGCAAATAGAGGCCAGCCTACATAACTTAGTGTGACGAGTCTCAAAGTCAAAACAAAATAAACAAAAAATTCAAAGAGCTGGGAATGTAGTTTAGTGGTAGACTATGTGCCTACCACATGTAAGACCCTGTGTTCAATCCTCATTACTACAAAATGGTAACAGCAGCAATAAGAAAACCTGGACCTAGGCAAATCCTTCCTTCCCTAGACCTTATTGTTGTTGTTATGATTACTGTTAGTATTTTTTATGGTGGGGGTTGAATACATGGTCTCACACATTTTAGGCAAGTGCTCTGCCACTGAACTATACTGCTATCTACCCACTCCTATTTTTTGAAGCTTGGCTCATGAGACACACAACATCTTTGCGTTCATATAATGAAAATGTGTGCCAAAAAGAGAAGAAAATGAAAACATGTGCCAGTCAGTCATAATGGAATCCATAAAACAGATTCAAGAAGTTATCCAGGAGATTAAAAATTCCATTGAAAGTAACTACAGCAGAGTAAAGCAATGTGAAGGCAGAATCTCAGATACAGAAAACAGGCTTGTGGTTAGCAATCATGAAAAGAAAGATTTCTTAATGATAGCAAGGGACCATGAGAAATTAATCCAGCAGGTGCTAGGTGATGTAAAGAAGAGTAACATAAGGTTGATCAGAGCCAATGAAAAAAGCACATGATAGCACAAATGATATAAAAAAAAACCTATTCACAAGTGTCATGGCGGGAAACTTCCCTGGCAGGGAAATAGAATTTCATAGAAAGATAAATGAGGCATATAGAACTCCAGTTAGCCATGATCAAAAAAATCTACAGCTGGATGTATAATAGTCAAGATTCCAGAAACTCAACACAAGAATACAATATTAAAAGCTGTTAGAGAAAAGAAAGAAATCACTGTAAAGGAAAGCTCATCAGAATCACAGCTGACTTCTGAAAACAAACCGTCAAGTCAAGGAGAGCTCGGAATGAAGTACTTCAAGCCCTAAAAGAAAACAACCTCCAACACAGATTTATGTACCCTGCAAAACTATCTTTCAAAATTGATGGAGAAATAAGATACTTCCGTGAGAAACACATCAGGAAATGTATGAGCATCAAACCACCACTCCAAAATTCTCTGAAGGACATTCTAGAAAGAGATAACAGGGACTGCATCCATAAACCCTAACAGAAGGAATTTACCAAGCAAGGCAAATAATTAATTAAACAGAGGTGGGGAAAGGGAGCCATCACCTGGAAAATAGCATGACAAGGATAAGTCAGTATATATCAGTTATGTTACACATATCATCAGTGTTAATGTTCCCAATTCACAAATCAAAAGAAACAGACTAGGGGCTGGGGATTTAGCTCAGCGGCACAG